ACAAAACAGCACCCAGCGTCGAGCGAAATGTCCGCGTAAACCGCCCCAAGAATGTCGAAATGTCGGTATCACTAACAGACGCTCCAAACCTCGCATATCTGCCCGCCCATGCATCCCCCTTCATAAAGCACCCCCCCCTCTCTTTCTCGCCCGCGATCCTGCCCTCCAAAATCTACAGCATAAGCCTCCGTGACACAGCACAAAAGCTCCCCCCCCCCCTTCCTCCGACCCATTCCTCCTCCCTGGTCTGATCCTCCCGGTCTCGCTCCCGCTGCACCCCTAAGCTTTAACCCGAGCGCGACCCAAGTCCCAGAGCTGCAGAGCAGACGACACCATCGCCGTCTTGGAAGGCAGAGACCCAACAAGAGGGAAAAAAGAGAAGGAAAGAAAAAAAAAACAGGAGCGCACGCACGCACGATGCCTTGCAACCCGTCCTCGCGCCGCTACTTTGCGAATCTCGCCCGGAGGCTCTGCGTCCGGTGCCTCGAGCCGTATAGCCAGCACCACATCTGCTCCAGCCACGAGGAGCACGTCCACCGGACGGCGTTGCACGTCTAAGGGTAAGGTCGGAGAGCCCACCTGCCCCCGCCTGGTTGGTGATTCCCAGTTAGCGCGTGATATGATGCGGTGGCCGCCTGCTCACCCTCACCAGATCATGTACGGATTGGATTTCTCTTGGCAGTCCCCCCCCCCCCATTGGAAGCAACACGAGCGAAGCGTTCTATTGGACGAGCAAAGGTTGGAGAGGCAGAGGAAAGGAAAACAAAGAATGAACCCTCGGGGATTGCCGAATCAGGAAGGCTGGTTTGCCCCCCCCCCCCCATGGGGGGGGGGCTTACGGGCTTCATCATCTCAGTCATCAGGAAAATCAGCTTGGATGACCCAACCCCAAACCGAACCCATTAACCATCCCCATATGCACACCCACACACACACACACCCGTACCCCCCCTCCTACCCCCCCGAAAAGGGTGGTTGGACAGGGAATCGCCTATCATTTCGGCTGTCAATGTCGCGTTATGCTTTTAGGTACTGTACAACAAAAGATTGCCAATGAGGCCCGGAAAAACAAAAGCCAGGCCATACGCCGGTGCCATGCCGTCCCGTCCCGCCCCTTCCGTGAGACCGCAGTCCAGAAACCGGACCAACCAATCGGCCACCGGACGCTCTTTTTTTTGTTCCATTTCCGCAACCGACTATTAGGGAAACCCGCTTTGCAACCCGCCACTCCTACCCAAAGAGGAATGTGAAATGGTGGGGTGGAAAAGCTGAGGAGAAGAGGGAGAGATAGGGAATGTATGTGACGTCGCTAGTCCCGAGACTGAAGTCGACCTCGTTTCGCCTGGCGCCTCCAAAAGGCCGTGTAGAGGCGTCGGCGAGCTATGCGTGCAGAGCTGTAAGATGTGAGTCTGTCCACAGCTCGAGACGTCGGACAGCCGCGAGGAACCGAGCGTCTCTACGACTCTTCGTTACGGCGGGGGCCACCGCGCGTGGACGAGGATCCGCCGCGCTGTCCGCGGCCGCGACCACGGCCCTCACCACGGAATCCACCACGGCCACCACGGAAATCACCACGACCACGTCCGCCACGGAACCCAGAGCCACCTTCACGGTTGCCATTGCCACGGTTGCGGCCGGGCACCTGGCGGAAACCATCGTTAGGGTCAGCGGAAACGGCGGGCTATCAACATGTTAGTCGAATGTTTTGCTACCAGTCAGGATACTTCTCTTACCTGGACGGGCTGCTCGGGCTGGTCATCAGCCCAAGACTGGGTGTTGCTGGCGTTGGCAGGAGTGGCCTCTAGGCCAGTCTCGGTCTCGGCAGGGTCGCGAGGGATGTTGACCCACTCCTGGGAGATGGCGGACGCGCCAAGGTCGTTACCAGTATCCCACTTGTCGCCAGCAGCATTGGCGGCCTCGTTGCTGGCATCGGCGTTGCTGGCAACTGGAGTTTGGGCGTTCTCGGAGGCGGAACCATTGACAAGAGCAGCATCGTCGCCAGCAGTGATCTCAGTGAGACTGGCATTGGCGACCGTCAGGTCAGTGCCAGGAGCAGGTGCAGCGGCAGGTTGGGCATCACCCTCAGTCTCGAGTTGCTCGGTCTCGGGAGCCCGTCGAACCTGAGGGGCCTCTTTCATGTAAGCACGAGCCCAGGTGCGGAGATCGGCGACTGGAAAGCAGTTGTTAGCGGTCATGTCACACGATTGGCTCGTGAGGGAAAACACTAACAAGTCACATCCAGGAAGGTGCCATCAACGTCAAAGGTGCGCTCGTTGCTGCCACGAACAAGGGCGATCATGCTGCCGGCGGCATCGTCGTCGCCAACGTACATGTTGCCAAGAACTCCCTCAATGGCGCGACCGGCATCCTCGGACTGGCCGGCTGGGTCCTCACGACGGGCAGCGGCAAGGCGGAGGAAGCCAGAGACCTCCTTCAGGTGTTCGAAGACGGCAGTGTCCACGTCACCCTTGGACGACTTCTTGGCCGCCTCCACAGCAGCGGCAACCTCCTTCTCGATCTGTTCAGTGTAGTAGGTCTTCAGCTCGGCCTTCTCCTTCTCATGGACGGCCTTATCCTGCTGGGCCTTGGCGCGGTACTCTGAGTCCAGCTTCTTGAACTGAGCAATCTGTTCCTCGTTCTGGGTGAGCTGGGCGAGAAGGGCGGGCTTCTTGCTGATCTGAGCCTTCTGGTCGGCGTTGATAAGCTTGGCGGCAAGGAGCTGTTCAAGCGACTTGCCGGGGTTCTCGGTAATAACGGCCTCGGTTTTGGCCATGTTGGACTGTGGAAAATCGAATCAGCACGACGGTTGACTCAGCGCTTGAAGGTAGGTAGAAACTTACGATCTTCTTGTTAATGTTGCGAATATTCCTGCGATTCAGAGGTTCTCGTCAGCAGTGATCCGGCATCATGAGAACAGAACGTGTTGATGTGGCTTACTTCTGAAGCTCACGGACGTAGGGGCTCTCCGAGGCATCATCGCCAGCATCGGTAGCCTTCTCGCCGGCAGGCGAGGCAGTGGGCGCGGGCGACTCGGTGCGCTCAACAGCGGCGGCAGCAGCCTTGGCCTTCTTCTTCTTCTGGGACTTGGATTCGGCCTGCACGGCAGGGTTCTGAACGTCGGAGGCGGCCATTGTGGAGGACGTAAGGGCTGGGGGGGGCGTGGATAGGCTGCGCGAAAGTTTGCAACTGAATGCGGGACGGGAAGGTGCGGTAGGAGACAGTAGTGATGAGAAGTGGGGGCAATCAGGTCGAAACTGAGCTGCAATAGAAGATCGCCAGCAGTAGACAAGAGACGAAATGTGGATTTAGGATTCGGGGTTCTAGGAAGGGATCGCGAGAATTGGAGTTGTGGTTGTGGTGTTGGCCAGGTGGAGGAAGCTGGAGCAAGTCCGGCAAGTGAGCTGGTCGAGGAGACGTGCAGGCGATTTTCGCCCGGTACTAGCGTGGATACTAGTGACCCCTGCTTTGGGGGAAGCTCATCCACTGGAGCACCAAACACAGCACCCACAGAGCCCAGCTTGCTGAGGCTGGGCATGGACCCTTTCTTAGTGCCGGTCATCTAGGGCAAGTCGAGCTGGGGTTCTAGAACCAGCGAGAACTAGAGACACCTGGATATTGGCCTCATCGAGCCAGTGCGCACACCGATTCACCATGATCAATGCATCATTGTCATTCAAGCATAGCTGTAAAGAATATGGAGGGTCATTCACTTGGTCTCACACATCTCCAGGAAAGCAGCGTCTTTTGGTAGTGCCTAGAATGTCTCGTGCTCCTTACAGCTTGTACCTTCCCCGCGTTGGCACCACCTAGCCGCTCTGACTAGCTAGTTCGCTCTTGCGTCACTCAGCCGCCTGAGCTGATCAGTACTCCCATTTCAACCTCGGGCCCATCCGAACCAGGCCGCAAGGTCACGAGCTCTCGCGTCAAAACAAAAATGGGTACCTACTGTGGTTTGATGAACGCATTGCATGGTGATATGTCTATGCATTCTTGTCTTCAATTAACCTTACCATCCCAGAGGCATACTTGGGATGGCTGCAGCCTGCCTCTGAAAGGCAACATCCCCCACCTGGTTACACTGACTGCACAGCACGAAGAGATGTTGGCCCAGGCTCGATAGATAGACTAGAGACGCGAGTATCTAACCGTCGACTTCCACCGCGATACTTTCACGCAGAAGAGAGCATTGGCCAAGCCAGTTCTCACGAACTACGATCGCCGTACCACTACACGATTCTTTCCGCAGCAATCTAGTTCACTACAGAGACACCTTTCGGGTCATCTGTGAGATCTGTTGGGCGCTTCGTGAGCAGATATCCTCTATATCATAGGTTTTGCGACGGCATGCCCCCGACGCCTGGTCCATGGTTGTTATTCTTCATTCCGTCGTTGGTGTCGTGTAACTCGTAGTGGCAGCGTGTCGGCTCGTCATGATCGTTAGGTTTGGGGCCATATTGATGATTGGCAGGAGAAATGCGGCTTCTCTCAGCTCTTGAACTTGGCTAGCGCATCCTGCTGTCGTGTTAGACTTGGCTCATCACATCATCATGATTCAGACATACTACGGTCGCCCTCCGCACGCTCGTCGGCGTAATTGTTCTTTCTCCAGAGGCCTTGGAGTCGATTGCTGCCTCTTTCAACACTCTGATATCTATTAGTCAGTTCCGACGACATTGTTGTTAAGCATGAGACACTCACGTTTGCATGAACCGCATATAGTTGAGATACACCTAACTTGTATCAGCCAGCGCGCCGGGACGCGTCGTGGGGGCAACGCACCAATACATCGAGGTTCTTGGTGGCGTTGCAGTTGGAGTGCGCCTTCAAAATCTTCTTTGCCGTTGCCCGGGGGTACGTTTTTTTGATGGGAGCCATCATGTGCTGTGCTAGGGGAGGTAGTGATTATAGAAAGAGTGTCGTTTTGCACATTCGCCGCGCGCTGTTGTTGACCCCAGGCTGCATGAAGGCTGAAGGTGGCCCCACACGAGCATTCCCAGGTCCCTGGATCCACGCCTCATCCTTGGACTTGACAGGCGCCCTGTCACGTGAGCAGTCGAGCCCTGTTATCACCCTGTCTGTATTGGGAGCGGCCAACTTGAGGCAACAGCGACCAGTACGGATTGCTCGCAGCTACGATCTCGCATTGATTCGACATTGTGGTTCATACTTTGTCACTGAGGCTCTCCAAATGAAAATGCTTATATGATGTGCTGACCCGATGCGTTCCCTGCATCTCTTGGGAACGAGGTGGCTATCAATAGCGGCTGAAATGTCGTGTTGACGCGACTTTGAACACCACTATGGCCCCGGAATTGCTCCTCTCACTTGAAGTTGTGAACGACGGCCAGCATTGTACAGATGAGAACAGTTGTCTTCTCATACCTTGCTCGAAGTTTTACATAACATGGCCAAATTCCAGTTGTCTTATGGATTTAAAGGTAAATTAGATGATAGGCTAAGGGCATCCCAGACGTAGTTGACTTATACTTAGGTATGAACAATGACATTATTCCTTACTTCAAGTCACTTAGAAGTGACTATAATGGCGAAACGGGCGGCAGCTGAGCAATGTTGGAACCCCTGCAGCATGTGCGAAATACAGTGTTAATTTAGTATTCGCACGCCACCAGCGTCCCCGCGATGGAGGGGTTACTCCAAGTCGGTCAAATTGTCGAGTTCCAACGATTCAGAGTGTCACGTTACAGCTCCTCGATTACACACGTCACCAGCACGAGTCCGAGTCCGACCACACAATAGTCGCCAAGATGATGACCCGAAGAATGGTATTAGGACTCTACAGCAACCGACACGTAGCCTGAGCTGATTACTGTGCAGCTCACGAAAGAGGACGAGGAGGCGACCGGCGACGAGACCGAAGTCCGCAGAGAGGACCAGGACAAGATCAACAAATTCAGTCGCCTGCACCAGCGCGAACTGGCGATACAGGACGAGCTCAAGGTTAAGAACGTACGTGGTGGCCCTTGGAACCTTTCGCAAATGCGGCCGCTGACCGGATTGTGCCGAACAGAAAGAGAAGGAGGAACTCGACGATCTGAACACCGAGCTCGAGCTCATTGACGAGGACGACACCGTACCGTACGCTAGCTGCGCCCTGATGATGTCACTTTTACTGACAGATTGCCTAGCTACAAAATTGGCGACACATTTTTCAACGTCCTGCAGCCTCAAGCTTTGGAGATGTTGGGCGAGGCGACGGCCAAGATTGAGGAGGAGGTCGAGAAGCTGGAGGCAAAGCTCGAGTCGACAACAGACGAGATGACGGAGCTCAAGGTCGCTCTATACGCCAGGTTCGGCAAAAGCATCAACCTTGAGACATGAAGAGAATATACAAGAACAGGCCTCAGTCGACAGCTCAGAGACGGTTCGATTCAATCTACAGATACCCAAAATCGCAAAGATGTATTACGAGGACAGTGGCCATCTGAGCCAATCCCTCGACCCCTTGCTTTCACCAGAAACCATACCTTCATAAGTTCGCTTGGCCCATTGCCCGCCAAAAGTCGCATTGTCACGTGCAGTATGCCGAGATACGGTTGGAGACGGCTCATCGACGGTCAATCCATCGGCCGGAAAACATGTTCCCTCGCCCATGCCAAGTCCCTGGCGTCACTGTCTGCAGCCGACGCCCCCTCACGCATCTTCTCTGGGCCACATAGGTGATGATCATCAGCCCTGGGACCGTCAATTTGGCCGGCAAGCTTGGGCCGACAATGGAAATAGCACCTGTGTGTGCTCTAAGTCCGATCTCGCTCGACTGTAATGCTTCGTGGAACTAAATAGGAAAGCGCCTCAGTCTATAGTTCCGAGTTGCAGGTCGATCGTTGATCGGACCTCTCAATGTGGGCGGACATTCTGGTCCTCAGGAACCGATACCGCCAGCGCTGATCTCTTAACCGGACACCATGCCCGCCATGGCTTTCCCCTGCCCAGTTCAGTAAGCCCGTCACTTTTTATCCAGTTTTCCGTCACGGGCCTACACATCTGCGCCCTTCCATCTACATGCTTGGCAACACCGTGTAACACGTCTTATGTTGGAGGAGTCGACGTTGCCCTTAGTATATTGGGCCGTAATTACCAACAACAATGCCAATTGAACATGTCTCAGAGTAACGAATATCAAAGCACTAGGGATGTCGTTGAGGGTAAGTCAATCTTATGGTCCGGCTTCCACTGATGGCCCCTACTCTCGTTTGCAAGAATATCACATAATAACACCATTCGAAGCCGTTCGGCATCCTGACCCAGCGGGCGCAGACGCCAAAACTCCCGGCGAGCGACCAAGGCAAAGTCTCGAGGAGAAAGAGATGCACAATGGCCTGCCATGCACATCCGGAGAAGACGAAGAGAAGACAATAGTATCATGGGAAGACGACGATCCTGAAAACCCCTATAACTGGTCCAGCGTGAGCACAAACATTAGCCAGACTGTTTGGATACAGCAGCTTGTCCACGAGAAACGACTGACGACCACCAGACTAGAAAGCTCCTCATCTTGCTCCTCACCATGATGCTCATCATCAATAGCACCATGGGATCGGCTTTGCCATCCAATGCCATCCCGTATATATCGGAACAGTGGAACATTGCTTCGCCGCAAGGCCAGATCCTGCCCATCTGCGTTTTCATGATCGGCTACTTCTTCGGACCCATCCTCTGGGGGCCTCTGAGTGAACACTTTGGCCGCCGCATCATCACCAACGTGACTTTCATTCTGTTCACCGTATGGACGTTAGCTTGCGCTCTCGCGCCCAATTTTGCGGCGCTGAATGTGTTCCGTCTCTTTGTTGGCGTCTTCGCTAGCGCTCCGATAGCTGTCGTTCCGGGCATCATGGCGGACATATACGGAAACCACGAGACTCGCGGCCGTGCTATGTCGTTCTTCATGGCTGTACGTCCTGCTCGCGTCTTTATATCTGCCCACGTATTTATACCTTGACTTACAGACTACCTGCTTCGGACCTCTCTTCGCCCCCATCATCTCAGGCTATTGCTCGCCGTCTATCGGCTGGCGGTGGACTTTCTGGATCGGGCTCATCTACGCCGGTGCTACCTTGATTCCTCTCCTGTTCTATCTTCCCGAGACATCAGCCTCAATCCTGCTCGCCCGCCGCGCCGCACATCTACGAAAACTAGACCCAGAAGGCAACGCTCACATCGTGCGCAGCACGCGATCTCGAGCACACGGATCTTCACCAGCTTGTCACCGTGGTACTGACTAAGGCCCCCCCCCATGATCGCCTGCGAGCCCAATGTCTCCTGCTCCTGTGCCTACCTCGCCTTGATCTATACCATCTTCTACATGTCCTTCCAAGCCTTTCCCGATCATCTTCAACACGCTCTACGGTCTCGGACCCCGGCCCCACGGGTCTCGCATTACTCCCCATCGGCGGCGGCTCTCTCCTCAACCTCCCCTTCTTCTTCGCCTACGACCCGACCCTGACGCGCCTCCGCCGGCGCCATCCCGCCCTTCGCAAAGAAGAAGTACGCCGCCTTCCCCTCGCCTGCGTCGGCGGGCCCCTCTTTGTAGCCTCCCTCTTCTGGCTCGGCTTCACCGCCCGCCCCTCCCTTCCCTTCTGGGTCCCCATGCTCGCCGGCCTCCCCTTTGGCGCGGGCTTCATGCTGATCTTCATGGCGCTCCTCAACTACCTCACGGACGCCTACGAATCCTTTGCCGCGTCCGCCAACGCCGCCGCCTCCATGGCCCGGTCCTTCCTCGCCGTCGTCCTGCCCCTCGCCACGCGGCCGCTGTTCGACCGCCTCGGTGTCGCGGGCGCGTGCGCCCTGCTCGGCGGCCTGAGTGCCGTCATGGTGCCGATCCCGTTTATTTTCATATGGAAGGGGGACCGCATACCCGCGGCGTCACCGTTTTGCATTGCGCTTAGACAGCAAGAGGATGAGAGGGAGCGGGAGGCCGATTGGCGCCGGCGAAGGCGGGAGCAAGCTGCTGCTGCTGCTGCCGCTGCCGCCGCCGAAGATGCGCGACAGGCGTCGCCAAGGGGTGCGGGCGTTTGAGCTGGATAGAGGTAGATTGGATGGGACAGGCCTGGATCTGCGGTTGCCACGCCAGATTCCCCATACGCTTGGCTCTTGGGTTGCAGTGCGAGACGAATACAACCCATGACCATAATATGACATGTGATACCTGCCTTGGGGCGGATGCTAAGCTTATACGGACATTGATCGCAGTGTATCAGGCTTCCATAGCACATGTAGCCGATGCATGATAGGCCCCGGGAACAGACAAAGACGGTTACGCGAGCCCTTCCCGAAGGAGCATGTTCTGGCTCGATCGCATGAAGCAAGGCACGTTCGTCCGACAAGTCTGCGTCCAAGCCACCAGCCGCACCCGTCATCCCGGTCAATCTTTCGGACTGATCACGCATGAATAAACAAATAACTGCAGGCTGCATTGACCAACGCCGTCTGATCTACACGATTCGTGATTGCCCCTGAGCAAAGGTATAGATGACATGGATCGAATAAAAATGATGATTCACAAGACATACACATACACACATCAATAGATCCAACCATACGGTCTTGACCACAAACCGCATCCCCATTGCTACGAGAAGCGAGTAAAAGAGAGCCCAACATGTTGTCAGACATGGGAACGAAATGAAAACAACTGTTTTTTCCTTAACCAGTTGGGGCCAGACCACCCGGCTGCAACGCTATAGAACATATTCCTCCCGATAAACACCGCATTCCGGCTCTCCAGGGAGTTGGCCGAGGAAAGTTCTATCAATCACCTGCTTTGAAACTGTGCAAAAAAAAAAAAAGAAAAACGAAGGTTGTCATGAATTCATAGATTCTTCTCGTATACGAAGAAAGAGGGAGCTTGACATATAGAATCTACACTTCCATATACAACACGCTTCTGGGGGAGAAGGGCTGCGACGTCTCCGGATCAGAGACTTAGACGAGCCTCTGGGGCTTGCGTTGCTGAAGCGGGGTGCGCTTTGTAAACAGGGTTGTAAACAGGGGCACCGGTGGGCTTGGGAACACCACTGGGGAGGGTGCCGTTGTTGCCAGTAGGGTAAGGGGACGGGCTCGACGGTGATGGTCTTGGGACATGGGTGACAACGTCGTCGGTGGGGGCAGTCCTTCCTCGTCCTCCTCGTCGACAATCCTC